CAGGGTCGCAGGGGGCGCTGGAGCCTATCCCAGCTGTATAGCTGTACACTAAAAATTACTTACTTCATGTTGTGCTTTGAATATAGTAGAATTATAGCTGTAACATGGAGCAAAAGACCACCAGTTTCTTTCAATGCTTTAGTGTTTTAATTTACATAAGAATATGAAATACAGTCCACTTTCCAAAACAAATGTGTACATTGTGTGAAAGCATTCTTTTATTTTTAAAGACTTTCCAAACATAAAATCCTTCTGCAGTTTATTGTATGTGTCGTATGATCCCTTATGCTGTAGCAACAGAACAGAAATACCAAGAAAGACTCAATAGCTGAAAAACACGTCAGTGTTTTTACTGATGAAGTGTACATTTGCATTAGTGATGAGATCACATGATAAGGCTACCACAGATAGATGGGAGCTTAGTCACACACTTCATGTCATCCAAGCATCCTGCCTTTCCTTCTGCAAAAAACACACAAAAAACAAAACACACTATGACTCAACAATCCTCTTTCATCAAAATTTGTAAAATGTAAAAAAAACTTTCTGAAATGAGGGGACGATTTTTAGCAAAAAAAATGAGTGTAGCTAGTTGCTAAGACACAACTAAATACAATATTTGTCAACTTATTTTAATTAATTACATTTGGCTATATCATCATTGATGCATGTGTACACAGTTAAAAGCAGAGGACAGTTCTGTGCATTCAGAGGAATGTGCATCAGTGTTCACCAGCTACATCAGCACATGCATTGACAATATTGTCATGCTACAAAACGTATCCAAATCAGAAGCCACGGTTGAACTGTGAGGTACATGCCATGCTACATGCATGCTCCGCTGCATTCGCCTCTAGTGATGCAGATAGAAACAAAAAGGCTATGATCTGTGTAGATACATCATGGAAACCAAGAGGCAGTACAGACTGAAGCTGGAAGGATACTACGACAACAGGAAGGCTTTCCAGCGTGTCATTAAAAAGGCACACTTCATCAGTAGAGTGCCCCTCCCACCACTACAGGACATTTACAACAGTCGGGTCAGGAAAAGGGCACACAACATCATCAAGGACCACACACACGCCCACAACACACTGTTCACACTCCTGCCAACTGGCAGACGCTACAGGATGAAAGCAACGACAACCCGACTAAAGAACAGCTTCTATCCACAGGCCATCAGTCTACTGAATCACTGACTAGTTGTTGTTGATTATCTTTGACCTGAAAAATTGCTATTTTGTACATATACAATCAATACAATACAACTTCATACAATATAAACATGTTAATATTTTTATAAATATTTTAATATTGCATACTCTGTAAATATTACCACTGTGACAGTGTTGCAACTACTTGCACTTTATTCTAAATTCCGTCTACACCAACAGATAAGCTACAAAGCCCCTGTTTTACTTTATTATCTTCTGTGCTATGTTCTACGCTCAGAGTTAAGTTTACTCTTTATTTTAGTTAGTTGATTATTTAGTTGTGTGAAGGGAACCTGCAAAGTAAGAATTTCATTGCTCTGCATCACCATTTGTGTTTTGCAGTGTATATGACAATAAACTTCTTGAATCTAGCAGTTATTTTTCTTTTTTTTTGATGGGGGTTGGGGGGTAGACTTACCACCAAAAGTTATCTGCAAACAGTGGTGCTTATGTTTAGCTTCCTCTCCTCTGCAAAACTCAGCAAAAGCAGACACACCCATATAATCACTCCAGGACCAGGAAGGATCCTGTTAAAGCAAAATTTAAAAAAAATTGCTAATTCATATTAATTAAAAATGCAATTGTTTCATAAACTGCTAGACACCATGCTATTTACCGCTGGAGTATTATGGCCTCCAACCCAAAACTGTCCATAGCCACGTCCAGCATGCTGCACCTCCTTTTGAATCTCGTTAGCTTGACTGGCACTATACACAGATGCAAGCTGTCCTCCACGATTCTGACAGTTTCTCTACAGCGCAGACAAACAGACAGAATTAAGTGACCAAGAAATTTTACATCATTAATGTACTCCAAGCTTTCATAGTATACTTAGTGTAAAAATCAATATCTTTGTTACTTGAGCCTCAGCCCAGGTCATGTATCTTGGAACAAAGAGGAGGCACTGTT